TTCTTTCTTTTTTGCCATTTATGCGGGAAGGTGTTCGATAGCTGTTAGTCGATATCCTGCTGCTCAGAGCCAGTCAGCGCGCTCTCTTCCAAGGTGACGCCCTGCAGTTCAATGTAGCGCTGTTTACTCTGGGTTGACCAGGGCCTGATCCAAGGTAGCGACATTAGCATCATAATCTGGGACGGTATATATTTGCAGGGCAACAGAGAGATCAGGTCCTCGTTTTTTCGGTCCACAGATTGTGCATCTTCTTCTTCATCCGGCTCTGGGAATAGCAGGTGCTGTAATATCTCTGACTCTGGTTCGGGTTCTGTTTCTGGTTTGGACTGTGGCAGCTGCAGCTGCTCCTCGCACAGCATGGAGAGCAGCAGGTGCTCGGTGAAGAGCGCATGCTGCTGTCGCTGGCTGTTGTCCCGCAGCGCTGTCTCTAGGTCCGCGTGCTGCTCTGCCATCCACTGGTGCAGTAGATAGCGATCCGCATCCGAGTGCTCCAACAGCAGCGCCGAGCTGCCAGCTGCTTCATTGCCAGAGCCTTGGGCGGGGCCATTGGTCAGCGCCTCGGGACTAGCAATTGCCAGAGTGGTCGAGCGTGAGCGCGGATCCCCCTCCAGGTAATTGGCTGGCGTCTGGCTCAAGCGTAGCTCCGGACGCAGGCGACGCAGCTCGGACAGCTGATAGAGTATATCGATGCCCGCCTCAGAGTCCATGCGGCTGCTATTGGATCGCGCCGAGCTGCGACTATTGTTGCCATTCTGATTGCTCGGATTAGGCGGCTGTTGGCGACGCCTTCGACGCGACACGCGCGCCAGTGCATGACGCAACGGCGGCGTATTCGGATCGAGCAGATTGGCATGCTCTATGTGATTCAGCAGCAAATGCCGCGCCAGATTGCGTATGGCGACCAGCTCAATGCCCGGCAGTCCGGCGCACATGGGGCACACCACATGGTTGTCGGCCTGGCGATGCATGGTGACCACATGATCGATTAGCTCCTTGGCCGTATGCCCAAAGATGCCACAATAGGGGCACGTATAACAGTTGGGTAAATGCATCAGTTCGAGCATCTCGCCATTGAGCAGCAGTTCGGGCAGCTGTTGATGCCGTTCCTGGTCGAGCAGCAGCTGCATGGGATGCTCCACACGATGGTCCAGTGTCTCCACATGCTGGTCATAGCACTCGCCGCACAGGTCATAGTTCACACAACGCAAACAGTGAAACCTTCGTCCATGGAAATTGTGTGTTTGACAGCCATCGCAGCAAAAATTTCGATGGCCCATAGGTTTGTTCTGATTAGTTAATTAATTATCGCCACTTCGTTAATTGGACAGAGAATTAATAATCGATTTGTTGTCGAACAGAATGTGATGTAATGCTCGGGGTGGAAATTACGCAAAAATATGGGTCGAAAAAGTCTTGACAATGCGTTTTGAATTTCTATTTTATGAAATCAAATGACAAGAATCAAAAATAATGTGCGACAAACTGTGGAGAGTACTTTCAATACGAGCTCTATAATGTCACTGTTACGGGCCTTACAGGACTTTGGGGAATGTTTGGAATATTATATTATATCTAGACTTAAATGCTTGGATATTCAAGGATGATATCGTATATATAAACAAATATAGATGACAATATCGTATATGGAAACAAATATAAAGGTTGATATCGTATATGGAAACAAATATACATGACAATATTGTATATAGAAATTAATATAAATGACTTTATCGTATATAGAAATATATATAAATGACAATATCGTTTCCAGAAACAAATATTGATGTCGCGAACAACTGTAATCAAATTATATATATTTTTAAATACCATTTATTTGTAAAACTATATATCCATTTTTAGACTATTTAATTAATTTTAGACTGTATAAATTATTTTTAATTTTTTGTAAATTATCATTTTTTTGTATATGAATATTGAATATTGTAATATTCTAGCTAATATTTAAATCCTTTTATGTAAGCAAATTTAAAGTTTTATAAATAGAGTATAAGCATTTTCCAGACAATACGTTTTCTATAAGTTTAGGCTCTACAAAATTTAGACATAACATTTAGACATGTAAATGTTATATAACTTATTATTATTTGTAGTTTGTTTAATCGCATTATATTTTTGCAGGGAAAACTGCCTTAGACGGACAACAATCGTCTTGTATCGCTCAATAGCAGTGTCCGCTAAATAGAGGGGAATGTGGACACGGCCCAAATATTAATAAACAAGAGTCTGCCTTTTTGGAACTGCCCGTAAGTATTCACTGAAATACCAAGCTCTAGCCTTACAAATGGCCAATATGATTGTTTTAAAATTCTCAATTTCACACTCATTTAGCTACAAGTTGTACATAGTCTATTTTAGTAAACTTCCCGTTTGAAGTCTATTAAAAGCGCAAAGCTTCTGTTGCTTTCGAATTAATTTTATCGCTGAAAGCTCTTATTTGCCAGTTTCCTGCTTTTATTGTAGCCTTGGGCCATATGTTTTTTTATTTTAATTTTTTAATTAAATTCACTTTCGAATACTTTATCTTTATCTTACAACCTGCATAGGTGGTAAACAAGTTGTTAAGCGTAATTTGTTCAACAGCATTCTATGTATATATATTTATGTATATATTTATGTACATATATATTTATCTTCCTTTACAAACTCTAAGTGTTTATGCGTGTGTATGTCTTAGTCTGCTGTTCAACTTTGTTTGACTTTGGAGCTGCGTTAAAATATTTTAATTACTTCATTGCCGGCGGCATTAAAAAAGTTTATTGTTGCATCATTTTATCCTGTTGCTGGCGCCTGCCACAAGCAGCAGCATAAAAAGTGCGGCAAAGTAAGGATTAGTATAAGATGAAACATCTTAAATCAACTTATTGCCCTGTAATATGACGGTAATTAGTGAATATTCAAATAATATATATTATGATTATTTAATATTCAATGAAGTAACTAAAAGCAAGCAAATTATCCAGTTCCAATTTGCGAAAGATATAGCTCCTATGAATTCCAATTTGAAATTTGGTCAAATGTTTACAACAACTTGCGGCTCTGCAGAATCTTTAGCCTGTGCATATTGACAACTGGGGTCAAACGAACTCAGATTTAAGTTGAGCGGGCGCAAAGTAAACGACATAAGAATGGGCGCACAGAAATTAAAGCAATAAGAAGCATGATAGATTCTTGAGAGCGACGTGCAAAAGTAGATAATGCACAAGCATCCACATACACATACGTTTATACATAATTGCCGATTCTCTTTGCATCTGCTTTTTTCGATGTGTGTATGCTTGTGGCTTATCTATTTGTTCATGTGTGTGATTGTTTTTGCTCCAAAACAGAATTAATCATGCGATCGTTCGCTGGCTTAAGTTTCTGTGAGCCGTTTTTTTCGTTTGCTTTGCGGCTTCTCAAAGTTCTGTTTAACTTTCATCCCAGTAGTAAATTGCGCATTTTACAATATGTCAAAATTTGACAAAAGTGGCAAGGAGTTCTGTTAGGACATGTATGTATCTACCAAAATTGCATCAGTTTAAATTAACAATTTGTTAATTCCAAAGATCGATCCTCAATAAACCGATTTAATGCAAATTTAAAATGATTCATATTCATAAAATTATTCTTATTTCATTTCATATTAATATTTTTTATTTAGTGTTAAAGAATCCCAATTGGATTATTTGATCAAAATGGCAAGGAAAACCCAGCTGCAACTTGCGGTTGTGCAGAATTTTAATACCTCACTTTTCTGCAATTGAGCACTGGGGTTAAACCAACTGACAATTAAGTTGAGCAAATAATAAAACATAGCATGAATATGAAATCTTATATACACACATGTCTACATATCTGCCGATTCTCACTGCATAGACTTGTTTGTGACTTGTTTGCTTGTAAGTCAACTGTTTATTAATATATGTGTACATACATATGTGTGCTTGCCAACACAGAACTAAGCTGCGCGAGTGCAGAGCGGACTACAAAAATGGGCGCACAGAAAATATAGCAAGTCGTATTTAGAGCGATAAGCAGCATCAAAAATTCAGGAGATCGCAATGTATAGGCAAATATGCACGAGCACGGCAAATGCACACACGTACAGACCTTGCGATTCCCTCTGCATAAACTTGTTCGGGTGTGTGTTCGCTGTTGTGTTACCTGCATGCTCTCTATGCATGGCGCTCTCATGAGTTTCTGAAGTTGCTTATCGCTGATTGGTCAGAGCAAGAGTTCTGTGTGCACGAATTTATCTGAGGATCGTTTGCTTGCTTGATTTCTGTGCGCCCGTCTTTGAGCGCTTTACGCATCATAGTTCGGTTTTAGTTAAACGGCAGCAGCCGTGTGAAGCTGTCTAAAAATATATTAAGTGCGGTTTGTCGGGTGAATTCCGTCCGTTTCTCTAACTGTATACTAGACTCGTACGAATACGAAGTAAGTTGCATAAAAGTGGCAATAAATAAAATTTAATTAAAACTCGACCCAAATCGTGGTCAGTTCTAAAATCAAAATTTTAAATGTTCCGTGTACTCTAAAGACTTTTACAACGCAATTACCAGAAAGTAATTCATTTTTCATTAAAAAAGAAAAATGCAATAGTGTGTGCTGCAAAAGTGGACAATGTTCAAGCGGGTATATACACATTCAACTGTACATACTTATTTGACGATTGCCTTTGCATACACTTGTTGTGTGTGTGCATGTGTGTAATTGCCATCAGAGGAAGAACTTGCGAAGAGCGAACACTAAAGCAAAACTTGTTGAGAGAGAGAGAGAGAGCGCTAAAGATAATGCACGAGCAGCCATATACACATGCGTAAAAACATATTCGGCAATTCTCTCTGCATACAAACTTATTCGATTGTGTGCTTCTTGTGTGATATCTATTTATGCAGGTGTGTGACTTGTTAGTTATCTGGCTTTGAAATGCGCTCAGTCGAATTTTTGGCTGCCTGCTCAATTTTCTGTGCGCCCATCTTTGAGCGCTTTTAGCAACATAATTCTGGTTTAATTGAACATCAGCAACTATGTTAAGTGGTTAACAAATATTTTAGCTTCAATTTCTCGGGTAAACACTTTCCGATTTAACTCCTGATCATTAATTGACAGAAAACTCTGAATCGGTTCTATATTCAGAGTTTTAACGATATGTGATTTTAAAGAGTTTTACTTTGCTGAAAGGTATATAATGCCCAAATCGACGTGATTCAACCGATAAAACGCGATTTTAAGTTCACAAATAAATAATTGTTTTTTTCTTTTTGTTAAAAATATTCATGAGTGCGAATTGGACCACCTGCTCAAAATTGTTTGTAGGTAAATGCTTAAATAAATAACCAATAACTTAATCGTTTACTCAATTTTAATTATGACTTCTTGTTTTTAAAAATGTTTTAAACTTTTCAGACTGCAAAATTCAGTCTAATCGTTTTAAGGACTTCCACGGGGCTTTCTTTGCCAGGTTCTGACTGTATTTAAACCAGATATAGTCGCTTATTAATTAATTTGTTTAATTTCAGATTCAGCAAAATCTGCAGCGCACAAGGACAAAAACAAATCAATAACTTTGGCACCTAGTTGACCCACGTATCCTTGGTTATTCCATACCATGGATATAGTCCTAGTGAGCCTACAGGACCGACTTCTAGCGATGCACAAGAATATGGTCCAAAAATATGTATGCTCTTTCTTTCAGCTGCCCCCACCAAATTTCCCGCCCCCTTGATGGTTCCTAGTTGACTGCCATATCCTTGGTTATACCATACCATCGATATAGTCCTTGGCAACCTAAAGGATCAGATCCCTGCAAAATTTGCTTCGAACTGGTCCAAAAACATGTATGCTTTCCTTTTAGCAGCCCCTGTACATGAGTAGCAGTTGCAGCTGCTAATTAACAGCCGACTTTAAATCACTCGATTAACATTAACTGCTGTTTAACATAACTCATTTAAAATGAGTTACATTTTTTATTCTTTAATAAATAATTTTGTTTATTTTTGTTAAAATTAACGAATTTGTTGTTTTTCACATATATTTTCCATTTTAACTTAAAATGTCTATATTTGGGTTAATATATATCCGATCCTGGAAGGAGTTGCCTTGTTAGATTCGTAAAAGTCCTTAGAATCGATTAGAGTCCTTAAATCCTGCAATCTGAAAAGATAAAAACACATTTGAAATAAAAATGTCAAAAGAGATATATAAGGGTATTTTAAGGAAAGAAATGGCCATAACTCGGCCATATCCTTGCATAATTTCAAAGGACATGGTGCGTTAGGATCGTAGGGACCAACTGCATCGAACTGCATTAAAACATTATGGGGTCATCTAAGAATCTTGGACTTGGTAATTTTTCATTCGCGGGCCGCAAGGAAAATTGACTAAAATCACAATATTACAGTAAAATCGCGATATCTCTGAAACTATAAGGACGATCTCGATGTCCTTTGGCCAGATGGTAGTCCTGGTCAATACAATTTTTTTGACACAGGTATCGGCAGGATACGTCAGGATATAGCCGAGTTATAGGCTATTTTCGGTTCAAAAATTTGTCCTTAAAACTTTTTTGTCTGAAGGACATTCGTCCTTTGGGTTGTATATTCGTAAATGGGAGGATAAGGACTATCTACTGTCCAAAGGACATCCCGATTGACCTTCAAATGACAAAGTTAGTCCCGAATTTTTCGATTTATGGCCATTTTCTGACTAAACCCCTGTGAAAATTTTAAGTGAAATTTTTTGTCGAATCCTGGAAATCCTTGAATGCCAATCGATAGATCTGCTTCCCACGAGTTTAAAACTATATATCCTTCAGATATCCTGAAGGACTTGGCCGAGCTATGGCCATACAAAAAATGTCCTTTTGGGAAAAGTAGCCATATTTCTGAAACCACAGGGCGGATTTTAATGTCCTTTGGCCAGTTTGTAGTCCTAGTCTATACAAGTTGTTTGACACAGGACTTGTCAGGATGCGCAAGGATATGGCTGACATATAGCCATTTTAGTGTACAAAACATATGTCCTTATATCTTGGTGTTTGAAGGACCTACGTCCTTTTCATTATATATTCTGAATGAGCAAGACAAGGACAGTCTGATGGCCAAATGACATGCCGGAAGTCCTTGAAATGCCCATGTTATGGCCAGTTTAGTAATACTATCCTTTTTAGAAAAACAGCCATAGCTCGGCCATATCCTTGCAGATTTTCAAAGGACAAGGTGCGTTAGGATCGTGGGAGCCAACTGCATCGAACTGCATTAAAACATCATGGGGTCATCTAAGAATCATGGACTTGGTATCAATTGTCGCGATTCCCTAGGAAATAGAAAATAAATAAAATCTTTGATTTCTTGAAAATTACAAGGACGATCTTGATGTTCTTTAGCGAGCTGGTCGTCAGGATATAATATATAATAATTAATATCCTTTGTGGCAATAGACCTGAGGATTTATAAAAGATGTGGTATGTGGCTACGGATCTAAGAATCAGATCTCGAGCCGAAAGGAAATAGGATAAAATCACAAAGTCCTTGACAGCTGTGAAGCTTAAATGTCCTTTGCTCACTTGATAGCTCAGCTCTTTGAGTTGTTTGATACAGGAGTTGCCGGAATTTGCAAGGACTCACAATGGGAACTGTTGCTGCGTGAAGTCGTTCGTAAAGTCTACGATCTTGGGCTGCGATGAATCCAATATACAAATAAAGCTTAAAATTGAATAAGTATAATGTTCTGACAGCCAGCTGCTAATTAATATCTTTAAATAAGAAAAAGTGAATAATTTAATAGCAGTTTATCCGTTGGTTATTCACCATCACCATCATTATCAATCGAATATGTCTCCAGATTGATTTTCTATCATATAATTATCTTTTACTTTTTCTTTGCTCTACACTTATATGTGCATTTAGAATCAGCTCTAAGAGTTTCGTATAAAGCTCAGCTAATCACGAAGTGCTTGGTTCAAAGATTCTCAAACTTCCCAGCTTTAACTAGTTTTCGCTAATCTAAAGATGGCAAGTTTGTGCTTTGCTAAATGAAAAGTAAATAAATACGCAGCTTTACTGGAGCTGCGTAGCAAGCGGCGGCATCGTTTGTAATGCTGCCCATAAATTTGCAGCAAATATATTGCGCATACGCACTGTGACCCGCAGAAGAACTAAACAAATATTCTAGTTGTAGTTGTAGTTGTTTTTGTTGCTGCAGTTGTTGTTGTTGTTGTTGTTGCTGCTGTTGTCGTTGTTTTTGTTATAGCTTGCTTTTGGGTCGAGTTGGGTCAGCATAGCGTAAACTGCAGTTGAAATTGCCTTGACATATTGCTTAAAACCAACGGAATCAGCAGCCCCCAACAACTGTCTTTGTCTGTCGAGAGAGAGAGAGTGTGTGTTTGTGTTTGTGTTTGTGCGCGTGTGTGTGCGAGTGTTTGTCAAAAGCATGGAAGTCATTCAACTCAATTTTATTTATTGTGCAACTGCTGTGCATTGCGGTTGTATGCTTGCTGGGACAGCACTAACAACTACAACAACAGCTACAAGAAGCATAAAAACCAACACACATTCATCTATTTAATTAATAACAAACACTGCACACATGCCACACATAACACACAAAAATACAAACCATAAACAAGAAACTTTCATGCTAATTCGCAATACCCAAGATCTAATACCCTAGCTTAAATATTTAATTAATATATGCTACTTTAAAGCAATCCGACCTTGGCCATAGTTTATTATTTGCACTACTTATTTCAATACGGAAAATTATGTTTTTTATTACAAACCTAAAAATTTTAATTATTATTCGATTTCTAATTCAATAAAGTCTTCAATAATTCACATCGGTGGCGGGCAATTGTCATGAAAAGAGAAAAGGTTTGGAAAATTAATAAGTTACATTTTTGACTATCGCACAGTTAAATATAATAAAAGTAATAAAGTTTCTAAAACTACGTTAGATAAAACAAATTATTTACAAAAATTTATTATGAAAATAAGTATAATTTTAGTAAATACTTTCAAATACACAAACAAGGAATTAATAAATGGAAGTTGTATAATTAAAACTAATATATTTAACAATTATTTACAAATATGCATTTGATAAATCCTTTAGCACTTTTCATATCTTTCACATTGTATTTTCTTTTTGTGTAATCAAAACATATCTGAATTATTAAGTAAAACTGGCCCAATGAAAGTTAGCCTGCCACGCCCATTTGGGCAGCTGCTCGACAGCCAATTGTGTGGCATAAACATAGCAGCAGCTTTACATAAATTAACTGTGTGTATTTATTATAAAAACAATGAAAGCATGCGGCGTGTCTGGCCATGTCTCGGCTTGGAATGAGCCCAGCTCAGCTAAATTTATGAGATGCGCCGTCCCAGTGTGTAGTATCCGGCCGGGGAAGGGCACAGAGTGGGAGAGTGGGAGAGTAAGAGAGAGAGAGAGAGAGAGAGAGCGAGGCAGCTTTGACTTACGCCTGGTTATACTTAATATTCACACAAATGGGGGGCTACGAGCTGGCGGGCGTGCACAACATGACGCGAAAAATGCAGCCGCCAACTCTCGGCAGGAGTTGCTGTTGCTGCAGCTGCTGTTGCTGGAGCTGGAGCTCGCAGGACAATAGAAGCTGTCACTTACAATGAAGCGGTATTCGGCAAGGAATTGCCAAGAATGTGAGCGAATGGGGGTGAGGGATGCAGTTGGGTGGCGGGAGGGAGGCCAACTGGGTTGCAGTCTCGCCTAGTGACATGTGCAGCAAAGCCGGCCAAACAATAAAGGATAACATTTACACAAGCCGCCCACACAGACAAGCACTCACGCACACATATGCGCATACACTCACCGAAAAGGGTCATAAAATGCTTTGGCCAAGTTTGCTTTTGTTCTCGTCATCGTCAACGTTCTCTTTAGTCTCCCTCTCTGCCTCTCTTTCTCTGTCTTCCCCCCTCGCTCCATCACCCAAACTATATCTCTATCTCGCTCTACTCTTCGCTTTTCGCTTGCCTGCCGTCTGGCCATTGTCTTTATGCTGGTTTAATCTGTGTCAAAAGGCGTGAGTTATTACAAGCCAGCCACGCCCACAAACGCCCACTAGCGACGCCAATAGCTGCACACACACACACACACACACACACACACAAACGTACACACACATCCGCCTTGCTCAAAGCCTTTGCCCCATTGTCTAGCCGGAACTGTAGTTCAGTCTGACTGCAACAGAGGGCGCTGCTTCGGTGGGGTGCAGATGCAGTCGGCCAGATAGAACTCGGCCAAGTCAAAGGTTTATCTTTTGTCAACGGCTTTTGTGTGGCTGGCATAATCAGCTTTCTCTTTGATCGAGCTGTCTATGCGAGACACTGATGAGCTCCAAGTCAATTAGTTTATGAAGCCAACTTACTGGTTAAGTTGGGGGCGTTTATGTTTAAAAAGGGGACATAAGTATTAGCATATATGTTGGAGAAGTAGAACAAATTATTAGAAAATGTATTTCTGCATTTATTGGTGTTAAAGAAAGATAACATATCTTTAACCGAGTCAATCGCACTCAAAATACTTTAAAATTGATCAGACGCGAAAAAGGATTATTATTATTATTATTTTATCGATCGATAAATATCGAAAAGTATTGTAAAAGCTACCAAATTTGATATGTTTGTACTTTTGTACATTACACAGCTGTGGAATATTTCATTTTGGGCTTAGCTTAAAAAATGTGACAATATTAAAAAGAGTTGGACAGTCCTGTAAGTATATGTAAAATTGTCAATCAAGTTAAAAAAATGTCTTTCAAGGCAAGACTTTGCTATCTTTCCACACACAGAATTGCACAACACCATTTAAAAGAACTGCAGTCCTTAAAGTCTTTAAAATTGAATTGCAATAATCATGCTGTAGATACATATATTGGACAAGTTTTCCGCTTTAAC